TGTGGCAGTACCAGGTTAGAAATAAAGACGGGGTAAATCGGTTTCTGGGCTGATGTCCGTTTTCAAACGATTTTGTACCATCCTAGATTTCGAAAAAATGCAATTTTCTCTTGAGGAATGTGTAGGGGAGACCCCTGGACACACTGAATTAGCGCCCCGAATGATTCAGCCCACAGGCTGTCTCAGCCCAATTGATTTCAGGAGTCAACGCACCCGATTAGGAACAAAGACGGGGAAAATCGGTTTCTGGGCTGATGTCCGTTTTCTAACGATCCTAGATTTCAAAAACGTTTATTCGGCCCACAGGCCGTCTCAGCTGATTTGTATCAACATTTTTGTAATATTTTGGGGGTTTTTTAGCTTAAATTCAATGGGGTTGATATGGAGGAAGGACTAGTGTTTGAGCTTCACAGAAAGTTGGGCCTTTTGGTATGTGAGTAGGAAGACAATAGCTGTCCAGTCTCCTCCAATGCAACGACTGCCTATTGGTAATGTCTGTCAACACGTAATTCGCCCGCCACACTGTACTGTGCTGTGGTGGGAAACACTAACCTAATGGGCCAGCCTTGTTGACATGCGTTACCTATCTTTTATCGTGGCCTCGGAGGAGACCGCTGTTGCTTTAAAGTCATGACAAATGAAACTTCAAATTTCATGAAACTCACCTATACACTTTCCTTCCCCCTTGGTATACCCGACATTGCATGAAAAATTAAAGTAATCAATTTTTCTGTCCATGTTGTAGCCCCCCTATATTATAGACATATATATTAAAACATATTAGCCAGAGTCCCTTTTGATGTTGCTGAAAAACATGCGTTGCCCTGTTAAATCTTATTCATTGCAGCAATCTTGTTGTAATAAGTTCGACAAAATAATCATAACTGATCATTCTTAGAAGTTTGCTCGCAAGAGTAACATACCGATATGTCCCTTGCTATTTACTTAGCCACATAGAAAACTGCTAATATCTACAAAACAGTCGGGGAAAAAATCATGGTGGCGAACAATGTCCACTTCATCTAACCCCTAAACGCGACATTATACCTTGCAAACGCGAGTCAACAGTATCACTAATTAATGGACAGAATTACAAGCGGACACTCCAAAATAAATAAACGAGCCCTTGCGTCGCCGAGTGGCAGCTAAACTTCCGATCTACCAAAAACACCACAGTACAGGGTGGCGAGC